GTCGAGGAGGTGCGACGATTGTCACAACCATCCACATCTCATACTTCTGCCGATCCCAGTGTGCTGTGGGAGTTGTATGAGATGTGGGTTTCAGGCCGAGGCTCAACTTGATGTGTATAAATCTTTGAAGGCTGTTGGGAAAGTTTTCGAAGCAGAACTTGAAGGCATCTGTGTCAAGGCACGTACGGCCCGTGAAGCTTGTGGTTACGACCTTGGTATGCCTGGCGGGGATGATGATGATGACGCTGTATATGGGCTTGCCTCTGATCCTTGGTATGATGATGAGTACGCTGATGGGGATTATGTGGCGTGAAGCTGTTGTACTTAGTTTTTTTTTGCTTTGCTATTTTTGTAAGGGCATCTTCGATCCCTTTGTATAAAGTATTGTAATTTGATAGTTGAAATGGAACAGTTCCCTTTTTGCTATGTATTTCTTGATTCTGGTCCTCTTTTCTTCTTCTCTTTTCTTTTTGCTATGTGGGGAAGCCCTCGATTTTTCGACTGTTTCTATATGGTTGATATTGGTTGAGTCGAACATAGATTGAACTGAGGTTTAATTAGCTCGGATGAGATCGAGGTTTGATGAGGCCGAACATAAAATAATTCGAGCGAGGTCGAATATGAAGTGATTCGAGCGAGGTCGAATGTAAAGTGATTCGAGCGATATCGAATGTAAAGTGATTCGAGGGGGCTCGAATGTAAAGTAATTCGAGCGAGCTAGAATGTAAAGTAATTCGAGAGAGGTCGAATGTAAAGTGATTCGAGGGGGCTCGAATGTAAAGTAATTCGAGAGAGGTCGAATGTAAAGTGATTCGAGCGAGGTCAAATGTAAAATGATTCGAGCAAGGTCAAATGTAAAGTGATTCGAGCGAGGTTGAATGTAAAGTGATTCGAGCGAGGTCGAATGTAACGTAATTTGAGCGAGGTCGAATGTAAAATGTAAAGTGACCCTGTGGAGTGCAAAAAGGCTGCTTTATTTCATTCATTGGAGAATATTACATGTTTCTGTTTGTTCCATACATATATGGGAGAATTTCCAATGTACCTAGTCCCACCATCGTTCGGCCTGGAGAAGTAGTCGGCAGCGGAGCGATGGATTATACTTGAACTTCGAGATGTCCCCTTCTTCGCCTTATTAAAAACCTCCCCGAGAAAACTCAATTGGGACAAAACCCAGGTGAGGGAAAAAGAGTAAGACTTGGAGGGCGTCTGTTTTCAAAAGTTTAAGTAGTTGAAGTGGGCGACGTTCCAATTGTTTTGTAGTAGCTTTCCCTCAATTGTTTCTAGTTGGAATGATCCTTTGTTTGCTACTATCGTTATTTTGTATGGTCCGTCCCAATTGACTCCTAGTTTACCTTCTCTTGAATCTTTGCTCGCCTGTGTTTTGGCCTTGAGTACATAGTCTCCGACTTTGAGTGGTCGTACTTTGGCTTTTTTGTTGTAGTACCGTTCTGCTTGTTGTTTTTGGGCTATCATTCTTATGTATGCCATGTCTCTTCGCTCCTCTGCTTCGTCGAGGTCTTGTTTCCTATTCTCGTCGTTGTTTGGTCCGCTTTCATTGGAGTATATCAAACTAGGTTCCCCAACCTCGATTGGTATCATGGCGTCAGTCCCATAGACTAGTGAATATGGCGTTTCTCCTGTTCTTGTTTTTGGCGTGGTGTGGTATGCCCACAGTACTTCTGGTAGTAATTCCGGCCATAGTCCCTTGGTGTCCTCAAACTTTTTCTTCAAGATATTTAGTATTATTTTGTTGGAGGATTTGGCCTGGCCGTTATCGGCAAGGTGATATGGCGTGGAGAGTATTCGCTTGATGTGACCTTTTTCGAAGAATTCAGCGGTCTTTTTTCCGATGAATTGGGGTCCGTTATCACAGTTGATTTCTTTGGGGCTACTGAAGCGGTATGATTTTTCTCCATATGAATTTTATAACTTCCTGTCTGCGTATTGGGCGAATACACCTGCTTATACCCACTTGGAAAAATAGTCAGTTAAAACCAAAAGAAATCATATATTACCTCGCCTTATTGGAAGGGGTCCGACAATCTCCATTACGGCCATGGCGATGTAACTGAGTGAAGGTGCTTGCCTACTTGGTGTATCATAGAAGCGTATTTCTGGCACTACTCGCACTTCTTAACGTAGTCGGTGGCTTCCTTATTCATTGTGGGCCAATAATAACCCGCCCGAATGAGGCATCTGACGAGGGATCGGTTACCAGTATGGGCACCACAGTGGCCTTTGTGTACTTCCTCGATGACGCATCTTTTTTGGTTCGGCACTAGGCATTTGCCAAGGGACCTCCAAATGTTCTTTTGTATAGGTCATGGTTTATGATGATGTACCTGGCCACCTACATTCGAAGCTTTTTAGCTTTCTTTTTGTCTGATGGGAGTACTCCCGGCAAATATGTTACAATACGGTTGCGTCAGTCCCAAGTCAAATTTACAGAGTGTACCTCAAGTTGGTCTATTGACGAGTGGAGGAGGGTGACCATGTTTTCTTTTGCAATTCTTTGGTGGCCGCTTCTAACTTGGCGAGGCCATTTGTATTGATGTTTTGTGCTCGAGGTATCTAGTCGAGCCGACATTCGTCGAGTTCTGGTAGTAGTTTATGAATTTCTGCTTGGTACTTTTTTAGCCTCTGCTCTTTGATTTGGAAAGTTCCTGTGACTTGGTTGACAACGAGTTGTGAGTTGCATCTGAGGATGACTCGTCGTGCTCCGTATTTGAGAGCTAGCTTTAGTCCTACAATTACGGTGTCATACTTGGACTTATTGTTAGTCATATCGGGGCACCGTATGGATTGGTGGATGATTTCTCCTGTTGGGACCTCGAGTACGAGTCCCAGTCCAGATCCTGATACATTGGAAGAGCCATTTTGTATAGGACCCGTAGGTTGGGTAACCTGGGAGAGGTACAAGAAGTTTCTTGCTCGACTTCGGGCATTATTTGGCACTGAAATCGTGACAAAGTCGGCGAGTACCTGCGATTTTATCGTTGTTCATGGCTTATATGTTATATCGTGCTCGCTCAATTCTATGGTCCATTTGTCCAATCTCCCTGATAGTTCGGGTTTATGTAAGATGCTCCTTAGAGGGAAGGTTGTCACCACCGATATGGGTTGGCATTGAAAATAGGGTCTAAGCTTTCGTGATGCTATGAACAATGCCAAGGCCAATTTTTCAATGTAGGGGTACCTTGTTTCGACGTCGACCAAGGTTTTGCTAATGTAATAGATTGGAGATTGCGTACCTTTGTTTTCACGGACCAATATTGTGCTTACTACAACATCTGATACTTCCAAGTATATCAGGAGGCGCTCGCCAAGTTCTGCTTTGGCGAGTAGAGGGGGCGAGGACAAGTACGACTTTAGTTCTCTTAAGGCCTCGATACATTCTGAATTCCACTAGAGCCCATTGTCCCTTTTGAGCACGTTGAAGAATTTGTGACACCTGTTGGAGGATCGTGAGATGAACCTCGACAGGGAAGCTATGCGGCTTGTCAGTTTTTGCACCTGTTTCTTGGTGGTCAATAATTCAGGTATTCCCTCGATGGCCTTGATTTGATCGAGGTTGACCTCGATACCTCTTTATGATACCAAGAATCCTAGGAACTTGCCCAAAGTTATGCTGAATCATGCCGTATTGCCTAAGCATATCGAAAGCCTCTTTCAGGTGGTCGATGTGGTCTTCCTTCCTTTCTGATTTGACCAACATGTCATCGATGTAAACTTTCATTGTTTTGCCGAGTTGGTCCTTGAACATCTTGGTAACCAACCTTTGGTAGGTCGCCCCTGCGTTCCTCAACCTGAATGCATGACTCTGTAACAGTACGGTCCCTCATGGGTGATGAAAGTAGTCTTTTCCTGATCTCCCTCGTCCATGAGGATTTGGTTGTAACCTGAGTAGGCGTCCAAGAAACTCAACAACTTGTGCCCTACTATTGCATCGATGAGCTGATCGATATGAGGCAACGGAAAGGAGTCTTTCGGGCAGGCCTTGTTTAGGTCCGTGAAATCCACACACATTCGCCACTTCCCATTTTTCTGTTTTACCATGACTACATTAGCAACCCATTGGGGGTATTTTGATTCTCGGATGGAACCGTTAGCAAGTAGCTTGTCCACCTCATCACTGATGGCCTCATTGATTGCGACATTGAATTTTCTTCTTGCTTGCCGTACCGGCCGGGAGAGTAGATCGACGTTCAACTTGTGTGTGGCAATGTCTTTCGGGGTGCCTGACATATCTGCATGGGAGAAAGCAAAAAAATTGGCGTTGTCAATTAAAAAATTATAAAATCCACCTGGTTCTGAGAGTTTATGGCCGATGTAAGCCTTTTTGCTGTTGTCTAGTTGGACGGGATCGAGTTATTCTACCATCGACCCTGCGGCATGTCGGGGTCCCTAATGACGTCTTTTGGTTCATCGAGTTCGGCCCCCGACTTTGGTAATAGCTACGCTTATTAGTCTGTTCCCTTTAACTGTTGAGTGTATGTACAATCCTAAGCGATGCAATAGCATTCTTGGACTGTGCACTGTTCGCCTCAGATGCTGAATATCCCCCATGGAGTAGGGAACTTGATTACTTGATACAGGCTGGAAGGGATGGACCTCATGGCATGTATCTATGGTCGCCCTATAATGGCGTTGTAAGTTGTGTCCTGGTTCATGACATGGAACGTTGTTTCTAGAGTGACGTCCCCAGCCAGAACTGGTAGCGTTATCTCCCCTAAGGTTCGCTCAGTTGCATTGTTAAAACCTGTTAGTGTTATGCAATGTGGTACTATCTTGTCCTCGAGTCTCATTTGTGTGAGAACTTAAGGGTGGATAATACACGTGCCACTTCCGTCGACTATCATTATTCTTTTTACATCAGTATCTGAAATACGTAAAGTAATGACAAGAGGATCGAAGTGAGAAAAAGTGAAACCATGGTTATATGGCTTATCGAAAATGATACTGTCTTTAAGGTCATCATACCGTTCATTGGTGGTCGATCACTTCAGTTTATGTGTGGTGGTAAACTTTACATGGTTGATTGCTTCTTCATCTCCCCAACTGATGATCATTTGAATGGTGCGGGCGGGGGAGGGTGGCTTTGGAGGGCCTTGGGGTTTTTCTCGTCCGGGGCCGAAGTTGGCTCGTCCTCGGTCGCTCATTAGCTCCCTCAGGTGCCCTTGGTGAAGCATGTTCACTACTTCTTTCCGTAGGGCTATGCATTCCTCAGTCTTGTGGCCCCGCTCCTTATGGAACTCACAGAGGACATTCGACTTTCTGGTATTTGGGTCGGATTTCATCTTCTGTAGCCATTTCACCTTTGGGCCGAGTTTCTCTAGTGCGTACACTATTTCTAAAGGGGAAACAAAAAAATTGTGAGTAGATAAGAGTGGAGGCATACCTCTTTCATTTCGCTGAGTCCCTGTTTGCGGCCTGGACGGATGTTTCATATGTAGAGGGGATGATGGGTTGGCTGCTTTGACATATGGATGATGTCTATCTAGATTAAGGCGTGGACCTGACTGGTCTCTTCGATCGTCATTACGATGGTCTTTCCTCAACTTTGTTTGGATCGACGTCAACCGCTGGGTTGGACCGTTAAGGTCATCCTCGTCTGCTCTCACCTCAGCGTAGTAGGCGTTGTGAATTTCTTCCCAAGTGGTGGGAGGGTATTTAATGAGCCTGCTTAGTAACTTTCTGGTCGCTCTCAACCCATTCCTATTCAACCCACTTTGGAAAGCTGCCACCGCCACCCCTTCTGATATATTTGGTAAGCTCATTCTTACTCTGTAAAACTGAGCGAAGAAGTCCGTGAGCCCTTCGCTAGGTGATTGCCTAATAACGAATATATCATTCACCCTAGCCTCCGCCTTCTTAGCCCCGACGTGGGCGGTGATGAACTTGTCGGCCATTTCTTCGAACATTATTATTGAACGTGCTGGTAATTGTGAATACCAGGTTTAGACTCCCCCCGTTAGGGTATCACTAAACTTCTTCAGTAACACCGATGGTACCTATTCCTTTGAAAGGATGTTACCTTTTACCGCTGTGACGTAATGAATGATATGATTTTCGGGGTCTGTGGTGCCGTCATATATCTTCAAATACAGTGGCATTTTGAAAGTCTTAGGTAAGGTATGCGGGGCTGCCTCCTCGATATACGGTTGTTCGACGCCGACATCCCATTTTCGTAGCAATTTTGGGGCACCTGGTATTGATGTTCCCTCATCTGGTCGCGGAATGCTTTATTCTCGTTTTCTATTTCTTTCATTTTCTTTAGAATGGCTGCAAGTGCATCATTACCTACATCAACGACGGTGCGAGTGTTACCTGTTGGGGGAGCGAGTTGTTCGCAGGTGGTATCTGCTGGCGCGACATTTCTATTCGCTCTTTGAATGAGTTTGTCGAGTATGTTATTTAGAGTGCTTGTCAGCCACTCCTCTCGTTTTGTTCACATGTTGGTGGCCCTTGCTCAGCTGCGAACGTGGAAGCCCCCCTTTCGCGTGAAGCGGTTACACTTCTATGAGGGGGAGGTGAATCACTCCACCTGGGTGTAGCACTCGACGTCACGTTCCCCTCATCTTCTCTGTTATCTTTGTTGATGGTGCTTAAGATGTTTGTAGTAACACCCACTATTGCTTTCTATCTTTCATCTTCTTTTCCTGCCATTGTTAGTTCGTGCAATACAAGAAAAAGATGGTTGTCCTTCTTTATGATCTAGAAGAAACTAAAATTCTACCTAAAAAGTCCCCACTGACGGCGCCAAATTGTTTGACCAAAAGGTGTTAAGCTTTTTGTTAAACTAAGTAATGATGAAATAGAGGATGAATCCTAGTCAAATATAATAAATCCTAGATCTGATATTAGGGTAAATTGGTGGGATGAACAATGTTTGAGAATATTAAATAGCAGATGTATACTCAATGATTATCAATAAATATTATAACATGAACATGCAATAAATGTAATAAGAAGGAATCTATAACTCAAATGTTAGATGACTTGGGTGATTCTTTCTTCTGACAGCAACATGGAATGATGGAAAGTGAGGATGGATAAGAAATCTTTGATCTAGCAAACAAAGAATGAATAACATATGTTGAGCCAAGTAGTCAGTGAACAAGACAATATTTATATATTCTTCTTAGTCAACTCTTTACAAAGTGCCCTTATCAAGAAAAGTGAAGATCCTCCTTTTTATTCTCTACCCCTTCCTATTTATAAGGGATATCCCCAAGAAACCTTAAAAAGTACGACATAAGAAATATCCAAAGAATATTTCTTATGCCTATTTCTAAACCTATCCTACCATTACTTCGTTACTACATTTGCTGGACCTTGACAATAATCATTCTAAAGATGACTCCTCGCTATTATGTCGTGGTCGACCCCATCCTCGATCCTGCCTATCTGCACTTATCAAGCCACTCAAATTTAGACCAATATATCTTGTAAGAACAACACTTAAACAAAAGATTCATTCAATACAAGACTTTACTTTAGGTTGAGATTCTTGCCAGATCAGATGGATCCTCGTCCGTTTGAGGATCTGCCACCCAATCATTGTTAGACGGATGATTCCTTTGTTCCACGTTTTGTTGCTTAAATTATTCCTCTTAATTATGTGATTGCCATCAGATTGACATTTTATTGAATCTCTTACATGTAGTTATTGTTCAAGTCAGACATAAGGTATTTGTTGCAAGGAACTACTATAATTTTTATAAATACTTTTCAACTACGTCTTTGATGCCAAGATTAATTTGAGGAAATTTTCCTTAACCAATGTTTAATTAGAATTAATTATTTGAACCAAGATTTATGTTTTTGAGTCAAATAAGTTTAAGTACTTCTAGTCCTTCACTCATGGAGGAGAATGATGGACTAACGAGGATGTGTCAAAGAGAAGAACTGATAGATTTTTACTAGCACATAAAAAGAGTTCTTATACATAGACCTATACTTTGTGCTCTAAAAGAGTCCTTGTTGTCCTTGATGATTTAACATTGGTTGAATATTATTTTACACATTTTGGAAGCTCGAGCTTTTGAAGAAGTGCACATGACATTTTAAGCAAATCCCAAATTTCTTGTAGTGAGATCTATCGAACTTATTACTCACATTTATAAAATGTTGTCATATGCATAATTTCTTGTAGTAATTAAGTGTTATAATAAATAAAATATAAGTTCACATGATTTGCACGCTTTCTGTGTCCCGACCCGGATTTCTCACTATTAGAATCGTGATGGCGCCTAACTTTCCAAAATGCTAGGCAAGCCAACAAACAAAGATTTAATATGCCAACTACTATCCAAAACAATAAATAACATTAATTAAACTAAAATATAGTAAAGAAGTGCAAAAATTTATAATAGTCTAAATACTAATACGCGACTACCCAAAATTTGATGTCATAATTCACAAACTTCTAAGAATCACTACAAATACTGGTTTAAAGAAAATATATCTTTTCTCGAAATAAAAGAAAACAGGGAAGACTAGGATAAATGGAAGGGGACTCCAGGGTCTGCGAATGCCGGCATATTTACCTTGGGTCTCCTGATGGACTAAAGGCAACAACCCAACTCTGATCAATGAGGTCCGATACCAAAATCTGCACAGAAAGTATAGAGTGAATTATTAATACAACCGACCCTATGTACTGGTAAGTGCCGAGCCTAACCTCGGCAAAGTAGTGATGAGGCTAGGACACGACAATAACACGAACCTGTGCCGTTAAATCATATGCAAGAAAATAACAATAACGGAAATTTAACAAATAATAACGAGAAGGGAGAAAACATGCTGAAGGGAAATATCAAATCCTGAAAATAGTACAGTAAAGAAACACAATAAAAATCATGCTTTGCACCAACGGAAATAATAACATAGAAAAACCTTTGTACGACATCACCCTTCGTGCTTTTACTCTCGTCCTTACCATAAAAGATAATAGAAACGACATGACATCACCCTTCGTGCATTAACTCTCTCCTAATATGGAACGGCATCACCCTTCGTGCATTAACACTAATAGAATATGGCACGACATCACCCTTCGTGCATTAACACTCACAGAATATGGTACGACATCACCCTTCGTGCATTATCACTCACTCACAAAATATTGCACGGTATCACCCTTTGTGCTTTACACTCTTCCTCACCCAAACAATAGAACAATAACAACCCGGAAAGGGAAAATCATCAATAACCAACCTTGTTTAAATGTTGAATTTCACAATAAAATCTCAACTTGTGTCGATACTCAACCAATATCTAATTCCAGTAAAACATGATAAGATTTGTTGAACATGAAAAATAACCAGTTTAAGCGTGAACAATACGAATAAAGAATACAACGGTCACAAGTATAAAACTCACTCGCATGCTATGACTCGACGACAACATATAGGTACTCGTCACCTCACCTATACATGGTAATCAACAACCAAACATATAGCAAATAAGGCAATAACACCTAATCCCTCAAGCTAAGGTTAGCCACAACACTTACCTCGATTCCACGTTCGAACTCAAGCCTCAAACAACATTTTTTCTTTAGTTTTAACCTCCAAAACACTCATATCTAGTCATAATTAACATAACAATATCAATTATCGCTAAAGAATTCAATTCCTATACACAATTACAAGTTTCCCAACATTTTTTCCAAAAAGTCAAAATTTGACCTCGGGCCCGCTTGGTCAAAACTTGAGGTTCGGACCAAAACCCATTCACCCACGAGCCCAAATATGTAATTAGTTTCAGAATCTGACCCCAAATCGAGGTCTAAATTCCAAAATTTGCAAAATCCCCAATTCTTCCTAAAATTCCTAATTCTACCATGAAAGAACAAGATTTAGGCTAAAAATCTAATGGGTGTTGATGGAAATTGAAGAAAAGGAGTTGAAGAACACAAGCCTATGAATTGTTGTTGAAATCTCTCTTCAAAATTGCTCCAAGGTCGTATTTTTATGAAAGAGTTGTGAGTTTTTGATAAAATCTCGATTCTGGTTCTGTTTTTAAAAGATTGGACAGGTCTTCTTCGCGTTCACGAGAGACCTGTCGCGTTCGCGATGCACTGTGGCCAGAATGGCCTTCGCGTTCGCGATGGTCTTTCCCCCTGACCATCGTGTTCGTGGGCCTTGCATTGCGTTCGTGAAGAACAACTCAAAGATTCCCCAGCCCACCTCCATTTTACTCTACACGTTCCCGTGATGCCGGTCGCGTTTGCGAATAGCAGCCCCCTAATGCTCCGTATTCGCGACCACAGATTCGCGTTCGTGATGAGCAATCCCCTCCCTCGCCCAGGTTTCACTTTTCATTCGCGAGAGTTGCTTCGCGAACGCGAAGAACAAAATATTAGTAAACTAGAAGCAACAAACACATCAGATTTTCTATGTCTAAAACATCCCGTAGCCCATCCGAAACTCATCCGAGCCTCGGGGCTCCAAACCAAACATGCACACAAGTCTTAAGACATCCTACGAACTTGCTTGCGTAATCAAATTGGCAAAATAACACCTAGAACTACGAATTTAGCATCAAATTGCATGAAATTTTTAAGAAAGTTCAAAAGTTCTATTTTCTCAACCAAAGGTCCGAATCACGTCAAATCAGTCTCGTCCCTTACCAAATTTTACAGATATGGTATAAATATCATAACAGACCTGTACCAGGCTCTAGAACCAAAATATTGACCCGATACCAACGAGATGAACTATTAACCATTTTCTTAAAACCATTATAATTTCAGTTTAATAATTTTCATCAAAAATTTATTTCTCGGGCTAGGGACCTCGGAATTTGATTCCGGGCATACGCCCAAGTCCCATATTTTACTACGGACCCTCCGAGACCGGCACAACATGAGTCCAGATCCATTTACTCAAAATGTTGATCAAAG